AAGAGATGCCATTGATTTGTACCGAATGTCACACATATTTCACTCATTTAGACGTTTGGAGAGATCACAACCAATTCATTCATAACGGATCCATTCAATCGGTTATTTACGCCGACATCGGGACAGTAGAGCGCCGGTTAGCACAGCCACTACCACCACCACCAGTACCCCAACGGACATCTTATGCCACAACCAGCCGACCAAACGGCCCGCTGACTACATCCCTCACCAATCATTACCCGTCGTATGCGACCAATCGGTCGGACATTAACACACGACCGCTAAACAAACAGTCATCCAAAACAACAAACAATTACAGTGCAAACCGTATGTCCGACGGCAGCTCCAGTCCCGAAGTGATCAATTTGTCTGATTCACCGCCGCCTCCGCCCAGAACTACGACCAATACTACAACTATTGCTCCAAAGCCTGTGTGGAAGGCAAACACCAATTCATCAAACTTTTCGTGTGATTTCCCCGACTGTGACTTCAAAACTAATAGCAAAGACAAACTCCAGTTCCATATCAGCGCTCACACGAACTCCAAGTTTAAGGTTTGTGTCTATTTTTTGAAACACAAATGTTTCGTTTACTAACTCATGGATTATGTCCTGTAGTGTCCGTACTGTCCATATGTGGGAAATATACTGAACGATATCTATCGACACATCCAGAAGAGCAAAAAGCACGAGAATATGCGCGTCTATGAGTGTCGTGAGTGCTCTTATGGGACCAACTGTTTGTCGTCATTCAAAGAGCATTTAAGTCGAAAGCATTTCGACGATTCCGACGAAGAGGACGAAGTGAACGAATACATAACAGACATGTTTCGCAACCATCACTCCACTGATAACGGCATTCAAAGTGATTCCGAATCGGATTAACGTATATTTTATTTATGAATTAAATTTTGAACTCATTTTTTACATATTTTATGAACCGTTTATTGCAATTGTAATTCAATCAACATTTTTGAAAAAATAAATTAAAACTTTTCAGTTGTATTGTTAATGAAGTGAGACTAGAGTTGGGTTAAAAATTTTATAAATAAATAAACTTTAGTTAAAAACAAAATTATATAATCAGTAAAAATACAAACAATAGTTTTTATTAAAAGGCACTGAAAGTTAGTTCGACAACGAATTAAGGCCTTAATACTCATTTGAAATGATCCATGAATTGGTAAATGCAATCATTTGTGTCCAAAACATTAGATTAATTGTTGTCTTGTATTTGTTTTTGCAATAATTCCATCTCTTGTTTTAATGAGTCGACACACGCCTGAAGATTCACTAATGGTCTGCAAAAAACAATGGAAATTACAATATATTTAATTTGTTTTTAATAGGTTTTCATTAAATATTTGAATACTTCGCTTCATTAGTGGTGTCGACGCTTTGGTCCAAAAGTTTGGTCACGAGTTCTTCATTAAAAGTGGACTCTTGTGTGACAACAATCTGACTGGCGTTCAACTGTTGCCTGAGTTTCTGGTTTTGATCGTAACTATTCTTGAGAGCGACTCTCAGTTCAGTCAAACGCGACTGAAGACTGAATTTACTTTTTC